GTGGACATATATTCATTAATTATTCACCATGCACGCAGAATTACTATACCTACTTAAATATTATTTCGACTACGTTTTAAAATGCTGTATTCTACGTTTAGTATTCTGTGTCTGTGTATCTTAACTGCAAAAAATTTAATTAAGAAATCTTCAAATGTCGACAAAAAATGACAGGAATTAAGTTAATTTATTCTAACACGTCATTGTTTCGGTATATTATTATTAGTACTTACGAGTATAGCATTAATAACCGCCTTCAAACAAACCGATAGAGCAACACAATTACCGAATGTTATAAAATTTTAATAGTAAATTCCTACTTTTCCTGGTTTTTACTATTAAAATTAAAACTTTGGTTTAGTGGGTTAAGCGCGCGACTCTCACCTACAAGGTTGTCCGTTCAAACCCTACTTGTGTAATAACCACTTGCTTGTATGGTGAACGCAAACATCGTGCGGAAGCCAATATTAGACTTGTTAGGCGGATCCCTACTTGTCTATCATGGAAATAGATGCAATCTACGCCAAGGCTTCTAATACCACCGATTTATTGTCCCATTAGGCAGTTGTTCCACCGCCGACGATGAACGAGCAAGTTGAGCTAGAATTAGAATCGAGTTGTCGAGCAGCACAAAGCCAGTGTGTAGTTCCGATTGTTTTGTCGCTGGGCTATAAGCAAGTGTACGAGCACTCGCGATTTCTCGCTCTACTCACTCACTGTATTCTTTTCTAAAATAATTAATATTCTCCATCCAAATTCTTCTTTTCCCCTCATTTCCTTCAGTTTTTTTAGAATTACTACTCTAATGCTATCATAAAACACATCATCATCGTTGTCTGAACTAGACAACAATGATAATTCAAATGATTGTTTGATATTCATAATAAATAAAAATGCCGCTGGTTGGTCTTTCGGTGTGGGTTCTTATCGCTAAGCAAGAATTATCTTTTATAGCTCTTGTCGCTTAGCGAGTAGCGACGAACTAGTGGAGCGAGTCCTTGCCGGCACTATGAACAGTCAGCAAACAACTATTTATATAGGCATCTCTTTTATTTACATGGAATGTATATCTATTGTACGTTTCATGAGCGAGAAAATAGCCGATAGTTGTTTCCTCGCCGTCGCGTTGATGGGACAACTGCCTTAGTATGGCTAGCATGTTCGAGTGCTGATTATGAGGTTCCAGGCTCGATTCCTTGGTTAATAATTAAGAATACACGTTACCATTTTTCAAAGTAAAGTAAAGCACGTAAATGCTGCTATCGTGATACGGCGGTCGTGCCGGACAATTGTTACACCGTAGAAAGTAGTACGAGAATTATCGTATAATATAATTATCGAACTGTCGTAATGGAGATAAGTCGGTTAATATTAACATTATATTACCAATGGATATATGTACTTACCCATACACCGTTATAACGCGGCTATTTTTTTGACCTAAGTTGGCACCTGTGATCCTCAGGTGATTACGTATATCGTGATAGGTTTAATAGACGGAAAATTATTTAAATATTGAATAATAGAAAAATTACGAGTAATTAACGTTTATTTTAGTTGAATTCTTATTTTTGGCATTATGTGTTGTGAAAATTTACGTAAGATGATTAATTCTAAACTTTAATCACTTTAGATCATTTCCTTTATTGTACTGTATAAAGCTAATATACCACGTTTCATTCATTCGTCGCCTTTTATTTCAAGGGGGAGGGGACTGCGAAATCGAACGTCATTCGATAGGTCAACGCCCAGTACTCCGATGCTAGCTCAGGCTTTAAGGAGTTCATGACATCTTACGTACTGATTATAATAAAAAACGAAACAAGGTTTTCAGAAATGAGGACATATTTTATTACGATAAAATATACTAATGATATACTGTGACGTATCACGGTGCTATGCGAACGAAATACAATATAAATGAGAAGTTAAAGGCACAATTTTTACGTGTAACGAAAATTCTTTAATCCCATGACGTTAAAAATATTTTAATAAATTTCTCTAATCTTTGAATTTGTAAAACATTCAACGTGTTGTATACAGTTGACAATTACTGTAAATTAATAGAATTTTCGTTATACTATTTTAATTCTATAGAGAATCACTCCTACTGTAGCCGAATATCGATTAATGAGCCACTTCACTTGCCGCGTGAGACCTCAATGACACCTTAAAATATAAATAATATTATCAATTAATGCATCAACTTTTTATGTGTAATTTTTTTTGGCTAACAATGTTTAACATATGTGTTTTTCACATTAAAATGTATGGTATTTATGAGCACTAATACCTCAAAATCCGTACAATTATTTTCGTAAGAAAAACTTCTGGGCCGTAGATTTTTGGCTCACTACTAAGTTTTTTTTTTATTTGGAAAAATTGCATGACATGACATATGCGACGGTCAGCAAAAACCACCTTGTGGTGGTTTGTCTTCCTTGTGGAAGACATTTGTTTTAGAAATATAGGTATTACGTAAAATTAGAAGCATTTAATATGTGTTTCTTTTTTGACGTTCATACGATTTTGACTTTGACGTTGTAAGAATTACGGGAGTGCTTAGCGGTCTGTCTCGACTCTAAACTTATTCATAAACGTCTTAAGGTTGGTAGTACAAACGTTAAAATACGTGTAACCAAAACATAAACTACCCAATTTTTATATCATTTTAACTTTACAGATTATTTACCGTGACGAATAAAAGATAATTTTCTAAAGTTTACACACAAAAAATGTCGATTAAATTGTTTTAGGACAAAGATTCCTGTCTCTAACTCATGATTTTAACAAACAAGTTTTTACAAATAAATTAATATTTATAATTTATATAGTAGTCAGATTTTTTCCTACCCTTGTATATGAATGTAAAACAATTAACGATTATAACGCTCGCGTTGAGTTTAAGAATAAACCGGTTTTAAAAGTGTCATTATTGCTCGTGCGACGTTTTCCAAAAGAAAATATATCGGTTACATCGATATTCAAGCATTCGTACCATTTATTATTTACACAAAGTACTATCAGCAAATTAAGTTTACATTTTAGATATTTTTAGTTTGTATATAACAAGTTTCAAGCCGCCTTATGCTTGGACTGAGGCGACATGTTTATTATCATTGATACGATTTATGTTAAATTTTTAACCATGGTAACAAAAACACTGCCTTCAATCTATGATTTATAATAAAGCTGATTATCCGAAATACTAGAGGGCAGTAACAATAAGGAAAATAAATAATTTAACTGTAATAACAGTGTTTGCTGATAGTACCAACATTTATCCTAACTTTAAGATTTTAACAAATACTATATGTAATAATTTATTGCAGAATTTATTAAGTCTAATATGTATAACATTAGCGATACCGAACAAAGCCCTTATATCTAATTAAACATATTGGCATAAAATAAAAAATATATTATCTATATAAATTGAGGCACGTTTATATTTAACATACGCCGGTCGGTATATTGTAAATCTTATTAAATACAAACCATGCATAGTACGTCGGAGTTTTGTATATGTATTGTTACTTTATCACCGCCAAAGTAAGACTGAGGGTATGACTAAAAAGTCGAGACTGAGCTGTATTACTCCGTTATGTCAAAAACGTATACGGAAGGCATAATTCGCGCTAAGTCTAGACTTTGAATGCCTTAGACATTGTCTGCAACGTGTACTTTAACACAAAGAGATAATTACTTTATTTTAGTTAAAAGCAAATAACCTTGCCAATAACATGTCTCTGACAAATTCAACTCGAATCAACATCGTTTCAATTTAATAAAATATACATTACACTGACCATTATTAACATTGGAGAAATTCTAAAGAATTATAGGCAGGATTATATCAAGACTTTAATTTTTTTATTACTGTTTCACTGAATAGAAGATTTTTTTCTAATCTTTAAGAATTATATATTTAAAAAATGGGAGCATGTAAAATCATTGCGATCAATTATCGATGGGATAAATAGGAATTGGAAATAAATAAATCTTAACGAAGGTATTATACGTACGAGATGCGGGTACGTACGAAAAATTAACTCCTTAGGTACGATGCGGAGAGCTTCATTGGTCTATACGTACTAAACTTTATGCTGTTAGAACAAAGCATAATGTACGTTAACAACGCATAAATAAAAGTCCTGAATGCGAATCTCAATTAATGAATCTTAGTTGAACAATTAATTTTAAATATGTTTATAAACATGCAAGTATTTAAAACTGTTTTATTGAGGAAAACTAATATAAATAACCTTTGCGCTTGATGTAACCCTGCAAAAATATTAAGTTTTGAGTACTCAAATTTTACCCAGATGATACCATCATTACCTACTTTTGATATTATGAAATATACAAAAAACCATTTAATTATAATGTCAAAAAAAACTGGTTCAAGATAGCAATATAACATGTAGCTATTACATAAATTGAGCATGCATTTCAAGTATTTCTACTAAATAGGTAATTTGATTCAACAGATTTCAAAACCAAATTTCAACTTACGAAAGATTAAAAATTCAATAAAAGTTCAGAAGTAAAAATATTTATCATGAAAACAAATTAATTAAACATCATTTATTATATAAGCCATAAAATAACAACCGTTTCACTTTTTCGTTAGTATATTTATATATAATTAGGTAAATAGTATTATTTAGTTATTTTTTGTCTTTTTTAACTGCCACAAGCATTATAAGGCCAAATATGTAATACCTATTTGTTTATAGCACATTTCTAAAAAGATCTTTATATTTTCTTCTGTAACAGACAACTTAAGACTTGAATACTTTAACAAAAATCCAACAGTTCGTGCAGGACCGTCGCGACATTAGACATATCGTGTTAAATTACCTCTGTTATGTTGACGACAATATTAGTTCAACAGTAATTATCTTGATAAAGGAGTTACTACTTTTAGGTTGATGATATCAACTGGGCAAATTAATTCAAAAGAATAAATGTCCGTGAAACAAAGGCGTGTGTTGTGGTCAGTCAGAGTCGCTGCCGGATTCAGACAAACAGAGATCGTCGTTAAGGACATCCGTTGGTAAGGCTGGGTTGCTAGGTGCACCTGAATGTATGAATTAACTTGTGTAAACATGTGTAACCATAACATCTTATTGTATAATTATATGAATCAAAAGCCTAATGAAATTTATCAATTTGTTATATAAAAGAAACTATTGGTCCTTCGAGACAGGCTTATAAAGAAATTGATGATCAAAAGGTTAGACCTATTAAAAATCTACTTTCCCTAAAATGTTTTATGATAAAGAAATATAAAACAGTTTACAGGTCAAAAGGATTAAATATTTTTTAATTTATATCTTACCAGAAGGAATAGATGGTCTAGAGTCGTTCTCATCGCTGTCACTTCCGCTACCACTGTCGCTGTCACTATCACTTGATGAACTAGATGAGCTGTCATCTTGACGTTGCTGTAAAAAGTATAAACCATTGTTGAGACTTAGCTGTTCCAGCGCTTAATTTATTTAAACCGCTTGAAGAATGAAGAAAACGAAGCTTAATACCAACTCATATATTGAGATACAGTGTAAACTGTTTATAACGAATTTCAAGGGACCGAGCATTTTTATTCGTTATAGAGTTTTCGTTAGGAAAGAGAAAAAACAACCAAATTTAACCAATTACAATAATTTCTAATTTCATTACTATCAATAGGTAAATTATTCTAAACACATATAATACATAACACTTTTCTTTTACTGGCCATCTTGACAGTTTCAATGTTTGTTTACGACTGATAATACACGATAGGTGACGGTGGTGCGTTTAGTAACTGAGACCAAAATTTGCTAGAGGCAATGTAATCTAAGAATAATGGCACACGTGTAAATGCAATTAACAATAACAAAGGCGAGACGGCTGTTTATGAACTCAGGTGTCTTTCTTAGAAATTTCGGCACCTCAAAAGGTTAGTTTCGTAAGCTGACTATAAAAACAATTACACTAAATATGAAAATTTCTTCGTCATAGAGAGCTGTTGCGTTATAAAGACGGAACTGAACTATTTTTACGTTATATCCATATTTCGTTGTAACGAATGACGTTATAAAGAGTTTACACTGTAATTGCAAACATATTCCAGCAGTTGCAACAAAGTACTGACCAAAATACTGATAATTAGGTATCTCTACTGTAATAAAAATGTTTTTTTTGATAGATAGTAAAGCTCTACAGTTTACACAGTTAGGACTAGATTTAGTTAGGACTATATTGCTAAAGTACTTACTGTAGCGGGGTTTGGCGGCGCGGGAGGCGGCAGATGCCGCGGCGGTGGTGGAACGTGCGCAATAGGGGCACTATGCACGCTAGGGACAACGGGTGCGCTAGGGGTGTGCACACTTGGGACATGGGCGCTTGGGATGTGAGCGATAGGAGCGTGCGCACTAGGTACATGCGCGCTAGGCACGTGTGCACTGGTTGCATGCACACTAGGAGCGCTAGGACCATTGGGAGCGTCGTCCAGACCAATCATAGGAAGCGACGCTAGTGTACTGTTGCCGCCTGCTGACCAACTGTAGAGAAATAGCATGTTAGTTAAAATGTAAAAAATTACATTAGTTCAATCAAGTCAAGTAATTAAAATAACAAAAAAAATTTTATGATGGGTTTGCCCTGTTGTCCTAACAATGTAATGTTTTTCATTTAACAACAACTCTATTAAAACCAGACAATGTGCAGTTCATTCAATGTTGCTATACATGTCTATACTGTATTTCTTACTTATTGACATCGAAAGTGATTTCAGAAAAAATATTTTTAGCTCTCATTTGCCAGACATTATAAAAATAAATGATTTTGTTCTGACTCTTCATGGGACCACAAAATGCTAGCTGGTATTAAGTTAAACACTGAACTTTTGTATTAATAATAGAATATAATGCTTTATGGCATATAAGATTACTGCGTCTGTTTTATTGAATTTTGAATATCAAATGCTTCATTGATTGAATGTTATTTGCATATACTATGAAAATCCATTGGTGCCGGTATCCAAAACCATGTCGTCAGACTCACCAACATTAGTGTACTTTTACTTCTTTTACTTATTCCTTTATTCTTCAATATTGAATGCAAATATACTTACGGCGCTTGGGGTGGAGACGTTTTGACTCTGGGCGGTGAACGCACCATGTTATGAGTCTTGGAAGCTGCACTGCCATTAAACCGTTGATGATGCTGGGTTACTTGAGCTGTCATGTTGGCTGGGCCTGTAATATAGATAATAGACTAGATCGTCTCACAATATTGTAAAATTATTACTCTCCAAAATAAAGTTTAGATCGTTTTTAAATAAAAGATTTATCATGTAAAAATAGTACATAGAAGTATCCTTAGTAACTTTCTTGAAGCACAGAAAGCTAGGAACCAACCCAAATATTGGTTTAACAGGAATATATTTAAGTACATATTATTTCAACATATACAAAAAAAACTTACCAGTATTATTGTTAGTTCGACGATTGGTTGCAACACGGGTACGCGATGTCGATCTTTGTGTGGTGTTTGTGAGATCGCTTGTAATAGGAGTTAAGGGGCGTGGCTTTTGAATAGACTCTTGCCTGAAAGATTTAAATTAAAATAACAAACTCAATTAGAATAAAGTATAATATAAACCTCTCAACTATAAATCAGTAAATTATTAGCCATTTTCCCTGTATATGCTTTGATGGTGCAGTTGATTCCAAACTATAAAAGTAGTTAAATGCAAATTTGGTAGGTTATTATATAATTAACAATTTTCTGATGTAAATTACAGTGGGATAGTCTAAAATAAGATCAACGGTTTTAGTTTTTTTAAGCCAAAACACAACATAACACTTTATACCTTGTCTTTTTTACTTGTATATTACTTGATAATTTTTCTAATGTGATTTCTCCTGTATCTCTATCTATTATAAGCACACATTCTTTTGTGTAAGGCCTTTGATTTCCCTTAAACACTGTCTGTGGTATGCCAGCGCCATCTGTGAATAATTATTTTTTATTTGAAAGAATTCACACCATTTTTAAATTTTTAATATAAAAATTTACTTATGGCAGTCAAATTTATAAAAATATCATTTTAATTGATTTTTAATAAATCTTAGCTTAGAGTTATAGAAGTTTTATTAAACTATGCTATTTATCATTACTAATCTGTAATGGATACTTACCTAAATGTGGTACAGTTACAGTCACTTGATTGTTAGTTCCTACATCTACAGTGGCCATTTTATTAACATCAACAGAAGCTGGTTTGAAGTCATCTGAAATAAAGTTAAATAAAATAAAATAAATAAAATAAAAAAAATATGTTTATTAAGGAACATAAGATACATGTATCACTTATTCCACGTCATTAAATTTGAATTTGTAGGCATCCCTACTCATCGGCAAAGAAGACAGAGGGTGTAGGCCGAGAGAAAAAGCAGGCGTAAAAAACTCTCGGTACTCTTTTAAAATAGCAAATCATCAAACTACACTTGCAGCCTGTGTTTGTTCCGTGTATTAACATTGTGCGTATGTTCTCTTCTAGTAAACTTATCACTATTTTTGTATACATACATAATATTTTCATAAATATATTGCGAGGAAAAGGTAAGTATATTAATTTCCTTGAATTTATCTCTAAGAGATTCCCTACATTTTAAATTATAGATTGCACGAATAGCCCTCTTCTGCAGGATGAAAATAGTTTCGACATCAGCAGCATGACCCCATAATAATAAGCCATAAGTCATTAAGCTATGAAAGTAACTGATGTAAACAAGTCTAGCTGTATCGACATCAGTTAGTGAGCGAATTTTTTTAACCGCGTAGGCTGCAGAACTAAGTCTCTTCGCCAATCCGTTAATATGAGGGGACCACTGAAGTTTTGAATCCATGGTAATTCCGAGAAATACAGTTTTATCATCCAGATTCAATTCCTCACCGTTTATAATTGGTCTAGTATCCATAACCCTTGCATTTTTTGCACAAAATTTAACGCATTTTGTCTTTTTTGCATTAAGTAGAAGGTTATTTATACTAAACCAATGGACAATCGAAGATAGAGCATTGTTCACATCGTCAAAATTTGTTATTTGTCGTTATAAAAATCGTTTTAAAAATCAAGGACGTGTCATCAGCAAACAAAACTATCTGATGTTTTCTCTCTACCATGAAAGGTAGATCATTTATATAAACAAGAAAGAGGAAAGGGCCAAGAATTGAGCCCTGTGGTACCCCCATATCTACTGCCGACCCAGAGGACCTCTTACCATTCACTTCAACCTTCTGAGTTCCTCCGTGTAAATAGGAAGTCAGAAGATTCAGTGCGGTATTCTTGATGCCATAGTGGCGGAGTTTCCCGATTAAGGTCTCGTGTTGGACACAATCAAATGCTTTGGATAAGTCGCAAAAAACACTTAAAGCGTCATGCGACTCCTCCCAAGCATTAACTATATATCTATATAACTCAACACCGGCATCGGCTGTCGAGCGACCCTTGGTAAAACCGAACTGATTATTATGTAATAATTTGTTTACATTAAAATGACTTACCAGTTGATTTTATATAATTTTTTCAAATATTTTACTACAAGTAGTTAAACAACCTATAAATTTAAAACGATCATTCATTAAAGATTAAGAGTTTAAAATTTCTTAATAGGACTACTGTGTATATACATTTTAGATTGAAATAAAAAACTCTAGACATAATATAAGCCCTTCACTTTTACATTTTGGCCTTCTCCTAGGCTGCAGCTGTAACAGATTACATAAAACTAAATATAGTTAAATACTTGCATTTAATTGTGTGATATTGTGATGCTTTATTGTTAGTGAAACTTGATCCCAATTTTAATTCTCTAACCTCATAGTTTAAACTATGTTTATCAGCCATTTTATTGATTTACAGCCATATGTTATTTTCCTGAAATAAAACCATAAATCAATAATTAAATTTAAAATCAGATGTCATTAGGATGACTTCATAACAATTTAATAAAAAGAAAACACTAAAATCAGTATAGGTCAAGCAGCTAGTGACAGTTGTAGAAAATAAGAAAGTTATTGAATCAAGAGGTTATTTTTTTGTTTTCCTTCTGATTAGAATGTTACGCGTACACATACCAGTCACTAGACTTCATTTGATAATAATTCCTTCAAGTATTAACTGTTTAAATTGATGCATTTTACTCCATATACCTTACTTCACCACATATACCATAGGATCTATCAAAATATCATGAAATTATTCATTTGATAATAATAAAATTGTCGATAAAACCATAAAATATGGCATAATTTACAATTAAAATAATTGCTTTATCTTTACATGATAATGACGAAAGCAACACGTACCTAGATTATTTCATAAAATCACTTATCATAATTAGAAATTTACTCCAACAAAAGTCAAATGTACTTTCTGAAGACAGCAAATTATTCTTAAATATTTATATACTAAAAATTACTTTTCTAATCACTATTCACTACCTACCTAGTACCTACTACTTCGACCTAATTTCAGAATCTGAATTCCTAGTTGACGAATCTATCTTGATTTTGACATTTGACAAATACTTCAACTTTCAGGTTACAATTTCTGGACACAGTGTTCAAAACAATTTCTTCAACTTTTTGCCAATGAACGCTGTTATGGCTCACATTCTCATAATATATTCACTATCCCATTCGACATTTGCCGTTGCTAATTGCTATATACATAGTATATAGTAGTAATGACTGTATAGGTATATGCCCACAGATTTGCTTTTACGCACTTCACGCTATTTTCTTTTATTTAATGTCAATGTCAATATTAGTATTTTTAGTCTGTGATCAATCGTAAATTCTATTTCTTGAGTTTTGAGTTATTTTAAATTTTAATGTATTATTTGTAATGGGTGTTACCTTTTAAGGTTTTACTTTCTGGATACAAATCTAAAATTTTTGTACTAAGCTCAAAAAATTCTGATCCATTTTTGGTTTAATACTCTTACAGAATTTACAATACAAATAGTTCTTTTTTTAAACTTTGCATTAACCGACCGCAGCAATAAACAAATTCATTCTCCTTGGCAACAAAAATGACTAAATCAATACAATTAGAGGTCGATCCTACTATCATGGAGCAAAACATGCGAATTATTAAGGTAGCTTTAACAACACAGTTGTTGTTACAGTTTTATTAAATTTTCAGTAGATACGTTTAATTAATTTGTTTATTGTAGGAAAATCCAATGGAAGATGAACTTAACAAACTTTTTGCGACTACTGATAACTATCCTTATAAAATCGTTCAACCAACACCAGGTAACATTGACAAATTATGTACATATTGTATAAAAACTAAAGCATAATAATAAAAAAAAAATCATTGTAGGTTTTTGTGTGAAGACTTTTACAAAGAACAACAAAAAGCTTTTTGTTAATGTATGCCGCACTGATGCCATTCCCTGTCCTAAAGATATTACTAATGAAGAATTAATGCAGATTCTTAGCTCAGACAACCCGTCTAGCTATAGAGTGCCTATGAGCATTGGTGAAGGAAGAATGGAACCAGATAAATCTGGAATACCTGCTACTGTTTATGATGTAGCCATAAACACAAACTTTTTTTCTAAAATAGAAAAGGATGAGGTCTTTCAGACTTTTTTTCTGACAGTAGTATTTGAGGGGTTACAAGACAAGTACCAATTTGAAATAGACATGTCTAAGTATACTATTCTAAAAAATAGGAAATCTATTGGCAATTTACAGTCACATAGGATACAAATCCGTGATGTTAAATCATGTGAAGCAAAAGTGAAGCCATTAATTGAGGAGATAAAGAAACCCACAAAAGAATCTAGGAAAGAAATAGTTTATAGACTCAGGAGGGAACCACCAACTGGGGAAATTCAGTACCTTATGGCTGAATTTAAAATACCTGCTTCAGTATGTATTGTTTCTAAATTACATATTAAAACTCCAGTCATGTGTATATCTTGCATCATATAATTCAGAATCAGATGTTTTTCTGTTTATATCTCTGTATCCAAATATTGCTTAGTATTAGATGTATAAAACACTGTTAAAGGCATAAAAATTGATTGCAGGTAGACTTACAAGACCTGAACTTGGAAATTGGTGAAGATAGAGTTGTTTTGGATTCCAAAGGACTTTTTGCTCCAGTAGATTTCTTCTTACCTTGTAGTGTTGATCAAGACATCATAGATGCTCAGTTAAATAGGAATATTGATGTAAGTTTGTGATCATAATACAACACTTGCCTGCTTACTCATACAGTCAAAACTGTTTACGACAACATTGTTGAGAACAACATACCTGCTAGATTGACGAAAATCAAAGGTCCCGGCTGAATTCTATTGTATTAGGTTCTTAATAACAATGTCGTTGGCTGATACGACTATTGGTTATTACGACCAAATATGAATAGTCCCTTTGATGTTGTTATAACAGATTTTGACTGTAAGTACATCTGCAATTTAAGCTGTAACAATGTAACTACAGTAAAGTAGTAGTTTAATTAAGTTTTGTCATGATCATAATACCATATAATATAATCTCACAACTTCTATGACTTGGTATGTAAAAAAATCTATAATTTGTTACAAATACACTTGATTAGCTTCTTAGTGTATTTATTTGTTTACACATTGCTTGATGTGACTCCAAATCTATAGTTAAGATGCAAACTCAATAGTACTTTTTTTGCAGATGTTATCAGTGAAGATGCCAGTAATCCATTAATAGTTTGATATTATTGCTTATGAAGTTACATTCCTAAATTTAATGTTACGTCCTTGTACATGCAAAGAAATAAAACAAATTTTTATATTGCAATAATTTTTATTGTTTCCCATAGCAGACTTTGTGTGCAGTGAGAGTGAAATCATTGAAAGTGTGTAATGATTGTAGTAAGGGAGGTTCAATACCATCAGATTTTAAGTATCAGTTTTCAATATGTGATATTCTGATAATATTTTTGTATAGGTATTTATCATGTTGCTTTGAAACATCAAATAGCGTTTTAAACTAGTTTTAGCAAATATTAGTTGATACTAACAAAATATCACAACTGCTCTCAGTAGTAAATATTAAAAGTTCAATTGCAATTGAATTAAAATTTATTTGACAGATAAAAACATAAATCATGATTACTCTAAGTAAATCTAATAGATTTGTGTTAAATCTGTTCAGAATTTTTATTAAAATGTGTACCACTAGTTTAAACCTAACAGTATTAATATTATTAAGTTTACTACATGCTGGTTATATTTCCTACTAACTTATTTGTTAAAGACATATAAGGATCATAATAAAAAGGTAAATAGGATTTCATTAAAGATCTAAGTCAGATAAAATTAATAAAACTTAAAAAGATTTAGTAAAGTAACATTACATATAAAAATGTAAGTTAATAATTAAAGATATGCTAAAATTGATAGTTTCATACTGTTAAATTATGAAGTTGTACAAAATCAATTTAATTAACAGGTTCATAACAATTATGGAAACTAGGAATTGGTTATTGGCTATGAGATTTCAAGATTAAGATACATTTGAGATTTAAATTTTCCCTAAGCTAATGATTAAATAGACAATCACTACTAAAAATCAGAAGTTCCAACATTTAACTGTTAGCCACTGGTTTTATTCCATATGATTAAGTAAAGTGTATATTATATTCAAATAACCAAATCCATTCTTTCCTTGGTGTATCCATCACATATCATATTTTTCACATATTGATAAATGAAATACAAATAAATAGTTTCCAGTTGAGATTTGAATCAACTAATATTATACAAATACACTGGAATGTTAAATACTGTACATATATGGCAAATTTCATCACGTATCTTTCATATGTACTTAGTAGTTCTATCATAACAATATCCGTTATAGTTTTTCACTAGGCCATGATGTCGATCTTTCCACTAATGCGAGCCATAGACGGACCGCATGTTGCAGTCAAGACCGACTGCAACATGCGGTTTGCTCAGGAACTGCTCGAGCGGTCCGTGTATTGCGAATATGAATTTAGTATGGAAACCGCATGTTGCAGTCGTCTATGGCCCGCTGAACAATGTTTTTTACTACCGATAATCGTAGAGTATGTGCGAAAAGAGAATCAGCGTTGCGGTTATACGCACATAGAATGATATTTTAATTTAGCATATTTTAAGGTATTAATATAATAACGTAACCAGTGCTCTCTACATAAGAAATGCAATTATTAATACAAATAATTTACCATTGCAATGAAACGGTTCTCTTTTCGCAGACTCATGAGACCTCGTTTTATTAGATCTGTCAAATCGTCTATTCTTTGAGATGAAATTTGACAAAAGCAAATCTCAGCCATTAACTTACAATTCATCTCGTAAGTACTGGCTTTGTATATCGAAACTGTTGAATTTAGCTAATATGTCGTCGTTATAGTTCTTCGAAACCAGTCGTATAGCTTTCCAGAGTTCGGAGTATGTAGTTACTTCAATGTTAACTACAGCCCTATAGGGTTGTCGCTCATTTTTGTTCAAATATATATGAATAAATGGGTAGCTATTTATGTACTCTTGACGGCAAATTTGACACTCCGACATACAGTTCACTTTACCAAAATTTATCACATTGTTGAGGCGCTGAAATGTTGACATGTAAGACTTTAAAAAAATCAGTGTCATGTTTTTCTTCACCGTACGATTGTTACATAAAAATGCTCCGTGAAACATAAAATCTACTTACGTGAGCAATAATCACGAAATCTAGGTACATTTCGGAACACTTGTAACATCTCGACGAATGGAAATATATGACCCATGGCTTCTCGCTTCTGTAAAAGTAAACTTAATATAAATAAGAAACCCAAGATAAAAAGTAAGTATTAATTTATTTAATTTAATTAGTAAATTGTATGTTGATTTTGATTATATTACTATATATCCTTGGATACGCGATAATAGGTAACATTACACTAATAAGTATTACATGACATTAAAGTTATTAAATATTTTGTAAACGTTAACAATAAAATATTGTTCCAAATCAAATATTCAGTGGTAAGATTGTCTTCGATCATTTTGAATTTTTTGGTAAAAAGAATATAGTAAGTATAGAAAGGGGTCTCTCCACATCCGCTGAGATGATTAAGTAGAATTTGAACTTTTGGGTGCTTAACATTTATTGTTTCTGGCAAATGTTCTGCCGTCCCATTAATGAAACTATCAATTTGACATAAACGTTCAAAACCTGGGTTAGTGATCAATATGTTTTCTAATTTTTTTTTAAATTTAAGACAATCATTGGAAGTTTTAATAAATCATCATACTTTATTCTAATTTAAAGATGGCTGTATTATATGCATATAAAAGTGATAAACTTTTTTTCGAAGTAGGTAAAAACCATTCGTAATAAATGAAAAAATTATAATATTAAACGCAATAATTTCTCACCCTTGCGTTTCTGAGTTGAATGTGTCTGTATTCAAATTGACGATGGAGTCATCTATATGATTCAAAGCCCACTCAAGTATATTCGGCGCCTTCGACAGCTGCTGTAGGGGTATTCTGTAATATTCATATAAATATTATATTACCAGATTTTAAATAATCCGATAGACCGAGGTCCGATTGTTCTCAAGTGACAATGTTATTATTACAAAGTTACTTTGTATTTAAAAGAATGTTTTGATAAGTCTTAAAAATAAAAATATATACGTTATTAAGGATTTTTGTTATAAATTAATCAATTAGATTAATTTCGACATTTTAAGTAAATTTGTAAATATTTCAACTATGTGCTCTGCGGGATAAATAAAAAACTCACGTAGAATGTTCTGAAGCGAGAGGATAGGCGCGTAAGGTTGGCGCGCGTACGTTGTTACAAAAACCACCCGTACGTTCGTTCCTACACCAGAGGGCGCCGACGCGTACGAACTTTAATGGACGAAGCTAAAATAATTATATAAGGCGTTTTATAATGGTCCATTCAAAAAAAAGTTTATATTTGGTATTTAGCTATGAACAGTAGAAGTAATTTCTATAATAATATTTTTTTTTTATATTTCTTTAGATACCCATAAACCTTCCTTTCTGAAGAACGTGTTATGGTCAAAATTCTCCGATATCTAGTTTGAGCATTCTGATTAACAAAATACAGACTTAGCCTGGTCTTCTCACACTTTCAAATAAATTTTCATATAGGTTTAATGGCTTGTGTACCGATGGATTTCTTTCTCACTGAGCAAACCGGCAAAACCATCACAGAAAAGTTCCTATCACTTGTCCTCAAAAGACAATTATCAAAGAAACAGATACAATCTGAGATCTTGTGCCTTGACACATATAGTTACAGCGCCACTGGATCATTATAAAGCTCTAAAAACCCACAGCGATTTCGATTTAATCCTTTTAATATCCGTAGCGCCGACTATACAATCTTCGCAAATCGCAATCTTGGAATCGCAAGTGCCCTTAAGGTTATCTGGTAGTTTAAATATAAGGAAACCGGTGACTGAAATAGCGAAATGTCTACTACTCTTTAAACTCACCCGTTTCGAGACAATTCTCATCTCATGCAATAATTCATCGCAGACATGACCATAATGAACTGGCAGAAACGCAACGACCCATGCATATTCACGTGACTGGACATCACTAATCTCCAGTACCTGTTGCTCGCTTAGGCTAAAGTCTGTAAGGAAGCGTTCAAGTATTACGTAACGAAATTGGTGGGGGGTTCATTTTGGAAAACGTTACGATACGGGGCGGGGAATGAATTACGCGTTATTGTTAATATTATTTTCGACTTTCCAGTACTTTACACCACATAATGGTAACTTTTAGGTATAACGAGTCACTAGGTGGTCACGAAACGTTTTACTATACTTGGGTAGGTACAGAAAAACGTTACGGCGCGTTAAAGCGATGCAATTTCAATGTAGATACCAGCAGCCCTGTCAATGTTAAAAAAGAAGCCAAAAATAAAGTTAATAATATATTTTGACAATAATTTGAAACAGACGACGTTAAGTAAGCTAATGCTAAGCACGGCGCATTTGCTAAAGGAATTATTTTTTTTCTCATTAAATTACAGAATATGCCTCTGTAGTTGACGGATTCTTCTACTTGTATTTATCAGACTTAATAAAGGACATTTTTGTGGCAAAAAAATTATTATGTTTTTTAATTGCGCGTGTCTTTAAAGCTACAACTTAAACGAGAAACATATGGATATATTTAAACTAAAATTCAAAAAGCTAAAGTTCAGAAAGCAAATCAAGTCCGCATTTAAAAACACCTATTTATACGAAAAATTCATAAAAAAATAATACTCACCATCTATATCTTTAATTAAATCAACAAACTCCACTATATCAGATTTATCGATTTCTCCACGATATCTGAAATATTTAAGGTCAAAGCTATATAAAAATGCTAATAATAATTTCTAAAAACGTTAAAATATATAGGTAGGTACTATATTATCAGTGCCGGATTAGCCACGAAGCAAGAGTAGCAAATGCTACGGGCCCCGCGGATTTAGGGGCCCCGCGCTCCAACGCCTGTCTGACCGTAATAAAAATAGTATTAATTTAGATAGCAACCTCTGCAACAGCAATTTTATAAACTTTTATTAAATGATTCTTTTGAATCGTGTTTCCCAAGCTTAGATATTGCCTTGCGCAATTTACTTGTCTCTCACGATCACTAATTTCAGTAGCGAACGTGCTTTTTAATTTTCAATAT